GGGGGCCCGCCTGCTGCTGCGGCCCTCGGAGCTGGGCCGCCCCTCGGAGTGCTTGGAGGCGCTGCCATCCCAGCGGCTGGAGTGCAGCTGGACGCGCTGGCAGACGGCGCCTGGACTCAGGCATCGGTTCTGGCGGGGGCTGGCTGGGCCCAGGGCATGAACGTGGAGCTGCCGACGCACGACGCCATGGGCGGCATCAGCGGCACAGCCCTGTTCGAGGTGGACGAGGTCGGCGCGCCTGGCGCTGCGGGCCAGTATCTGAGCGCCCAGTTCAGGGGGACGTCGCTGCCAGCCGAGGCGATCCGCCTCGACCGTGCCTTCCCGCCTCGTGGTGCTGGGCCCGCTGGCTTGCTGCACCTCTACGCGCAGGGCCCTGCGCGCTGCGGCGAGCCCGCTCAGGCCGGGCGCGCCGTCCTGCACGCGGAGTGGCTGCGGCTGCGGACTGCGCGGGGGGCCCTGGGTGCGGCCGTGCGCCTTCGGAGGCCGCGGCGGCGGCGGGGCTCGACAGGCCTTGGGACCCATCCCTGGCGGTACCGCGCCTGATCGCTTGGCGGCCGCGGCTGCTCGAGCCCTCGCAGGAGATGGAGCTCGTGCCCGCGGCGTCGGCGGCCACGGCAGGCGGCGGCAACGAGTCGGGTAGCCGCAGTGATGGCGACGGCGAGCCTCGTTTTCGCGACGCCCCCTCCCGCGGCGGCAGCGTGAGGCTACTGGCGGAGAGGCAGCCCGGCGCCCTCTACGACGAGGCGATGCTGACCATCGCTCTCGTGATGGGCCTGGGAGGGGGCGGACGGTGCCGAGACGCGTCCGAAGGTGCATGGTCGGCTACTTGCAGGCGATCGTCTTCGGTCACCACCCCGTCTCGCAGCTGCGGGTCAACACGGTGCGCGAGCTGCAGACGCTGGCAATGGCGCTGGACCTACTGGAGAGCGGATCGCTGCCGCAGGTGAGCGACGTCCTGATGCAGAGGTTCAAGGCGCTGGAGGTCTCACTGTCGGATTCAAGCTGGCAGGTGGCGAGCGAGCTGGAGATCGTGCCCGACTCCAGGCCGTCCCTCGCCTCGATGGACGAGCAGGACCTGGCGCGCCGCTCGGCGGTGCTGCGCAGGCGACCGCAGGGTGCCAAGAGCCGCGGGGCCTTCGGGAACCCTGGCCGCGGTTGCGAGAGGGCACGACCCGCGGAGAGGGCGCAGGAGGACTCGAGAGCACGCTCGCCCTCCGCGCGAGCCCCGCAGGGCACGAGGCAGCCTGCCCCCGGGCGGGGGAAGGGATGCGGCCGCGGCAGGGGCCGCTCCTCCCCCCTGCGCGCAGCCAGCCCTGCTTGCGCCCCGGGCGCTCCCGCGGCGGCAGCCGAGGCCGAGGGCCCGCCCGCCGCAGCGCCCTCCGGCCGCCCCGCCCGCGCCCTTCCGCCGAGCGGGCCGCGGGCGCCCCGCGGCGACTGCCCTCGCCCGAGGCGAGTGGCGCTGGCGAGCAGCCCCGAGCGGAGAGAGTTCAGGCAGGAGCAGCCCGCGACGGCGTTGGCACGGCCTCAGGGGGCCGCGCGCGGTCGCGGTCGCCGCCGCGGGGGCAGGGGGCGCAATGCGGGCAGGAAACGGCTCGCGCCCACGCCCCCCTGGCGGAGGCGGCTCTGCCGAGAGGGGAGCTGCGAGGTGAAGCCGATCGTCGATGGGGCCCATGCTTATGATGCGCGCACGGGTGTGGCCAGTTCTCTGCGGGCCGCCGCTTCGCGCAGACCGCCCTGGGCTCCTCCGTCGCGATCCCCGCTGGCCCCCCGCGCTCAACCTCGCCTGCCTCGCGTGCCCGCCGCTGCTAATTATGGCGCGACTGCTGCTTGTGGCCCCCTGGCCGACTGGCGTGATCTGGCAGGGGCTGATGGAGATATGCTCCGAGAGCCCTATGGTGGGCCAGATGCTTCTCAATTTGTTCAGGAGTTTCCGTGGTTCGTGACTCCCTGGGTCTACAGCGGCGCGAGCGCATGGCCACCTAGGGAGGTCGGCTGCAACGTGACTTGCTGCCGTAGACGTACCCTACCGCTGTCAAGTCCGATGTCGCTCATGACGGCGAGGACGTCAGCGACGAGAAGTGGGGGGCGCTCCATTGCAGGCTGGTTGCGACGGTGCTGGCGCTGAACTGGGAGGCGGGCTTCCGCTCGCTCAAGTTCGCTCGACGCTGCCGCGGACGTGCTAATGCAGCCCAGCGGGCCGCCTTGATCGGCCTGGCGCGGCTGCTCTTTTTGGCCGCGCGCATCGAGACCACCCTGCCCAGGGACCTGAACTGGGAGGGCCGCCTCAAGGATCGCAAGATCGGCTACGGTGGCTCCGCGATCACGACACCTCACAAACCCACCCTTGAACAGGTGCTGGACGGCCTGCCGCCGCCTGGTGTCGCGGCCTCCATCGAGGCGGCCGATCTTGCGACGGGCTTCGAGCGCGATGCTTTGCTGGACCCGTTGCTGGTGTTGCTGCCGCCTGCGCTCACCTCCGCTCGGGCGTGGGCTTGCGAGTCCGAGTGGCGTCGCATTGTGGAGGCCTTGCGTGTGCACGGGATGATCGCTCCCATCGCCTTGAGCGAGATCGCCTGTCGCGACGGAGCTCCGCTGTTGAACGGCGCCTTCGGTGTTCCGAAGGCTCACGACGCCCCCGTCAAGTGCAGCGACGGGGAGCCGCGGCCCGTCCCGAGGCTGATCACGAATTTGATCCCCTCGAACGCGTGCCAGGAGTGCATCGTGGGAGACGCGCCCGAGATGCCGACGATGAGCCAGCTGAACGGCCCGGTACATACCGAGTCGGAGGACCTGTTGTGGAGCGGTGCTGACAGAAAGGCCTTCTTCTACGTATTCAGGGCGCCGCCGCCGCGGTGGCCGCACACGGTGATCGGCCCCCCTTGTGCCGTCCCGGCTGCTGGGTCTCAAGGACGGCGGCGCCGCCCACATCTGCTTGCGCGTGATCGGCATGGGGTGGATCAGCGCGGCGGGAGCGACTGCCCATCTTCACCGCAACATGCTTCGGCGCAGTGGCAGCGTGCCCCGCGGCCTCAGCCCGAGCTGCGAGGTCGCGCGTCGGCGGCGGTTGCACCCGGGGGGTGGAGAAGCCTTGCCCCTCGGCCTGGATGGTCTACATTGACGACCTGGAGATCGCCAGGATCGTCGACAAAGCGGAGGCGGAGAAGCTGCGCGGGACGGTGCCTGCCCTGCTGACTGACGCCAGGGCCTGCTACGAGGCGGCAGGCTCGCCTGGGTCCCTTGGCAAGGACCTCCACCGCGTGGTGCGTGCGACCACCCTGGGCGAGCTCGTCGACGGCGTCGAGGGCGTCCGCTGCCCCTCGCGGGCTACATGACTGAGATGGTCAGTCTGACCTTTTGGGTCCTGGGGGAGAAGCGCGCCAGCATGCGGCTGATGCGTATCCTGCTTGGCCGATGGGTGCGCGTTCATTGCTTCCGCCGCCCTCTGGCCGCCTGCTTCGCCTATGCTTGGCGATGGCTTGGCGACTCGCGCAATGGAGGCCGCTTCAGCGTCAACGTCGTCGGGGACCTGCTGGTGTGCCTGGCGCTTTCTGCTCTGCGTAGCAGACATGCGGCTCGAAGTCGACCACCTGGCGACGGCGTCTGATGCGTCGGAGGCTGCGGGCGCGGCGTCTACAACACGGCCCTCTCGGACCGCGGCCGCGCGCTTGCCACCCGGCGCAAGCGGCCTGCCAACGCTGCCTGCGAGGAGGAGACGGCGCTGGCCACCCTCCTCGTCGGGATCGGGGGCGGACGCGGGGCTTTTGAGATCCTCGGCCTGGTGCCCGCGGTCCACCTGTCGTTCGAGGTTGACCCCCAGGCCGTGCGCGTGGCGCGCCGCTGCTACCCTATGACCCAGCACCTTGGCGACGTGACGGAGGCCGACCCTGCCACCCTGGCGGGCCTCTTGCGGGCCCGAGGTCGGATCACCCGTAGTAATGGGCGGCTTCCCGTGCCAGATCTACGCGAGCCTCGATGTGGGCCGCCGAGGTGCTGCCGACCCGCGCGCCTCGCTGGTCGGCCACATGATCAGGATCATCCAGGGGCCGCGGGTGGCCATGCCTGAAGCCGCGGTTGTCTTCCTCGGCGAGAACGTTGCTTCGATGGCCGAATCTGACGTATTTCATTTCAACGGGCTCTTCGAGCGGATCCCCCTGGAGGTCGAGGCCGGTGACATCGGCTGGGTCAAGAGACCGCGCCTGTACTGGACGTCCTGGGGCCTGCTGCCTTCTTTTGAGTCCAAGGCGACCATGGTGATGGCGAAGAGCTCGGCGGGCCGCCGCGCCTGCCGCGTGGCGCTGCAGGCTGAGCGGCCGCCGCTGGAGGAGTGGCTGCCTGCAGGTGCGAGCTGCCCTGGGGCCGCTGCGGGGGGGCCGCCGCCTGCGTTTGTTCGCTGGGCGCCGCGCTCGCAATCGCGCCCCAGGCCTGCAGGCATCGGGGAGTGCGCGGATGCTGAGCTGGCGCGCTGGGAGGAGGCGGGCTTTGCTGCCCCACCCTACTAGTTCCGTGACAAGCGGTGCATCCACGAGGCCGGTGGCCGCGTGGCGCCGCCTGACGCGGTCGTGCGCGAGAAGCTGATGGGCTTCGCTGAGGGCCACACTGCCCCGTGCATGACCAGTGCGGAGGCGAAGGCCAGCCCAGCCAAGCACGAGGCGTTGCGGCGATCCTTGGTGGGGAACTCGTTCCAGTGCGAGGTGGTAGCCTGGCTGCTTAGCCACTGGGCCGTGGCTGTGGGGCTGCTGGTCTCCGTGCCGTCGGTGGCCGAGCTCCAGCGCGCGCGCCTGGGCTGGAGGGCGCAAGCTGTAGGCTGGCGACCTCGCCTCGCTGCGCCGCGGACGCGCGAAGCTCGACGAGCAGGTCTCCCGCGAACAGGAGGTGGCAGCTGCAGGGTGCGCCAGCCCGGGGCCGCCAGCGGTGGTTTACGTCGGCCGCGGCTCGCGGCGCTGGAGCTCGGGGCCTTCCTGCCGGGGCAACCTTTGCCATCGGCCCGAGCTGCTCGCGAGAGGACGCGGTGGAGCTGTTCGCGGGCTGGCTGCGGGGGCAGCCGCAGCTGCTGGGTCGCCTGGACGACCTGCGCGGGGCTACCCTTGCGCGCCACTGCGAGCAGACAGTGCCCTGCCACGCGGACGTGCTGCTTGCCGAGCTGGCCAAGCGCGATGCGACTTCCTGGAGAAACTCAGCTGTCTCGCGAAGGCTTGTCATGAATCTTGCGATGGCGTGCCGCAGCAATGGCGCAGACATGCGTACAGACGGGAGCTCTGAGGAGCACGGTAAGATATTCCCTCGGCAGGAGATTGATGCAGGCATGTGGCACTGGCGTAAAGCTCGACAACTGGTTTGGCACGTTCCAGAGCACATCAATGTCATGGAGTGCCAGGGCGCCCTGATGATGATTCGATGGCGTGCTCGATCCCTGGGGCGTCAACAGCGTGTCTTCTTACACCTACCCGATAGCATGGTCAACGTCGGTGCTCTCTCCAAGCACCGCTCCAGCAGCAGTCAGCTCAATAAGGTGGTGCGCAGTTTATCTGCTTGCACAACTGGCGATGGGCGCGCGGGCAGCACGCGGCTTCACTTCTTCAGCCAGGAACCCCGCGGACGCCCCGTCGCGCCTGAAGGATGGGGAAGCGGAGTGGCCCCATCCGATCGGCGCGCCGCCAGAACTGGACTGGGGAAGCTGGGTGACGCTCGAATTGGCGCTGCAACGCTTGCGAGATATCGTCGAGCCGCCCAGCAGTTTGTTGACTATCTAAATGCCATGAACCTGCAGCTGCCTGTGACGTGGGAAGATATGGATAGTACTCTCCGAGATTACCTCGAGTATCTTTGGGCCGAGGGTGCCACCAAAGGTCAAGCTAACGATGCACTCAGCGGGGTTCAACATGTGTTGAGCACGCGTCGCCAGTACCCTGGCGCGTGGCGTTTGCTGTCAGTCAGAGGCCGCCTGGAGGTGCCTCAGCGTGCGCCGCCGATGCCGCCGCTGGTTGGCAGCGCGCTGGCCGGCTGGGCGTTGGGACGCGGCGAGGTCGCGTTCGCGGCAACAGTGCTGGCGGGCTTCCACCCGTGCATTTGGACAGGCAAAGCCCTTGGCCTCTCCAGCGGCGTCATCCAATTTAAGCTTTGCGGCTGCGGCGTCGCGTCGCTACCCTGGACAAAGACTGCCTGTCAGAAGGGTGCGCGCGAGACGGTGACGCTGGACGATCCGCTCGTGGGGGCGGTCGTCCACATTTTCATTCATTGTTTCGCATTGGACTGCAGCAGATTGGTTGCAAGCATATCTCCCTCGTCCCCTACAGTCTTCGAAGGGGCGGGGCAACCCACGAGTATGTGCAGTCTGGTGACTTATCTAAGGTCATGCGTAGAGGCCGCTGGAGCTCTCAGGGGACGGCAAAGACTGATTTCCAGCATGGGGCCGCAATGTTAGTCGAGATGCCTTTCCAGCAGAGTGCCCGATCCTCGCCCCAGACGTTCTCAGACACTTTAGTAGCCCGTGTCAGGGCGCACTGTAAACATTCAGGCCAGGAGCGAATATTTTTGGGCGGCTTTCAGCCATCTTTTGGAACGCAGTGGAGAGCTTTTTTCGGGAGCTTGGTGGGAGTGGAGATCTTCTCGTCTTCTTGGCACACTTCGGCGCGAGTCTCCTCCCCCCTTTGGGCCCCGCAGCGTTCTGACCCCGGTCGCTTGACGACGGTGGTGCACTCAAGGTGTGATTTCTGCCGTGGCCTGGGGGTGACTTCTGAGGCTTGCACGTACTGGTGCCGTCGTTTCCGAGGGACCCGGAGCTCTTTCAACAGCTTTGGCCAACAGGGAATGCCAATGAAGCTCGCCCTTGTTAAGTATATGATCAAGGATTGGGCTTGCCTTTATTCCCGAAGAGCTTACGCTCAGAACCCCGCCCGCACACACATACATACGTTTACGGTTGATGTGTGGGCAAAGGGGGGCGAGTGTTCGTTCGCCGCATTCGATCGCACGGCAGTTGTTCTGGCCTTCCCGCTTGCCGCCCTGTTCTGTGCCGTGCGCCAATGGCATCTCTCAAGCTTGCTCGTCTGTGTAAGACTCGCGTGAGCCAGGAGAGCTTCTCGGCCTTCTTGGCACAGTTCGGTGCGAGTCTCCCCCCCCCCTTTGGGCCCCACAGCGTTCTGACCCCAGTCGCTTGACGACGGTGGTGCACTCAAGGTGTGATTCCTGCCGTGGCCTGGGGGTGAGTTCTGAGGCTCGCGCGTGCTGGTGTCGTCGTTTCCGAGGGATCCGAAGTTCTTTCAGCAGCTTTGGCCAACAGGGGGTATCAATACAGCGCGCCCCTGTTAAGTATATGATCAAGGATTGGGCTTGCCTTTATTCCAGAAGAGCTTACGCTCATAACCCCGCCCGCACACACACATCTAAGCATATCTACTCGTATCTAAGAGTGGCACCGTATCTAAACTTAGGATGATGACATAACTCCCGTATCAAAATGAGATTCGTATCTAAACGTGCCTATGTTTGAAGCATTTCCATTCGTATTCAATGTTCTGCATGAGCGCGGTAGAACACATTTGTTTCACGGGGGGAATGTTAGATGCCATGCGGTCCTTCCGAATGCAGCTGCCGCTACGGAAATGAGCAACCAACGTCGGTTGTTAGATATGTTTTCCAGGGGGGCGGCCCAAAGACGGTCCCATGTGCCCTAAGAAAAATCCCGGAGAAGCCCAAAAGGTCCCAGAGGACCCGCCTGAAGCCCCAGGGTAGGCCCAAGCAGGCCCCAAGAGGCCCCAAAAGGGTTTTCAGAGCGGCTTAGAATGGATTCCGAGAAAGCCCGCAAGCAAGTGGAGTGACGCCACTTGCTTGTGGATTCTCTCCACGCCCAGTTGGGGCACTTGGGGCGCTCTCCGAGCGCTCCCAGAGGCCGCCTCAGTCCCGCCTGAAGCCGCAGGGTTGGCAGGAGCGGGCCCCGTGGGCCCACAACGAGGCTTCCAAGACGGCCTGAAGTGCATTCCGAGCGAGCCCAAAATCAAGTAGAGTGGCGCCATTTCCTTTTGGGCCCTCTTGGGGTGCACTGGGGGCCCTGTTGGAGCCTCCCAGGAGCGTGCCTGACTTCTGCCTGAAGCCCCGGGGCAGTCCTTGACTTCATCGTCCGCATTCGATCATACATACGACCGGACAGACAATCCCACAAAATGTTGGATGCGGCCGACGTCGCTGTCGTTCATTCGCATTCGACGAGTAGTGTAACCAAAAGATCTGCATCCTTCTGTGTCGCAAGCACGCCCTACAAGCACTGCCCCCTCTCAACGTCGTTAGCGGTGATCACATCACAGGTACACACTAGTCTCTACTACATTGCAGGGCCCAGTGCGTGCCAGAAGGGCGCAGGCCCCAATGCACCGAAACCGCCCCGGGCTAGCCCCGGGCCGCCCCGGGCCGCCCAGGCAGGCCCCAGGACATGTCCAGAGGGCCCCCAGAAGCCCTCAAGACGGCCCCGGAGAGCTCGGCACGCTTAAAGATGGGCCCACGACGCCCGAGATTCGCCCCAGGCGGCCCAAGAGGCGTTCAGGACGCCCGAAGAGGCCTCCCAAGAGGCCTCCCAAGAGGGCTCCGAGCGACCGAAATCCTCGATTTCTATTGTGTTTTTCGATGTTCTCGGCCTCCTCGCCTCGTCGGGTTCCCGACGCGCCAACACGGCCCAAGAAGCCCCCCCGACCGCTCCAAGACGGCCGAAGAGGACCCCAAGAGAGCCCCAAGACGGGCCAGGAGGGCCTCCGTGCGGGAAGGGTGAGCAGGCTCAAATGTGTCAAAACCGCCCCGGGCTGGCCCCGGCCCGCCCCGGGCCGCCCAGGCAGGCCCCAGGACATGTCGAGAGGGCCCCCAGATTCCCCCAAGACGGCCCCGGAGAACTCGGCACGCTTAAAGATGGGCCCAAGACGCCCGAGATTCGCCCCAGGCGGCCTAAGAGGCGTCCAAGACGCCCGAAGAGGCCTCCCAAGAGGCCTCCCAAGAGGGCCCCGAGCGACAGAAATCGTCGATTTCTACTGTGTTGTTCGATGTTTTCGGCCTCCTCGCCTCGTCGGCTTCCCGACGCTCCAAGACGGCCCAAGAAGCCCCTCCGACCGCTCCAAGACGGCCGAAGAGGACCCCAAGAGAGCCCCAAGACGGGCCAGGAGGGCCCCCAGACGGTCCCAAGACGCCCCAGGACGGCCCCCGGACGGCCCAGGAGGCGCCCAAGACGGCCCAAGAGGCACCCAAGACGACCCCAGGAGCGGCCCAAGACGGCCCACGACAGCCCAAGAGGCGCCGAGGCGGGTCTCAGACGGCCCCAAGACGGCCCAAGAGGCACCCAAGACGGCCCGAGAGGGCCCTAAGAGCCCCCCCGGGAGGCCCAAACGAAGGCCGAAGAGGCTCCGAAACGGCCCCCACGAAGCCTTCAGTGCCTCCAGAATTCCCTCCAGGAGCGGGGGAGCGGACGCGAGGCGACAGGCATATCGCAGGCAAAAACGCCCCAAGAGATCCCCAAACGGCCCCCACGAAGCCCTAAGTGGCCTCAGAATTGCTTCCAGGAGGGGGGGAGCGGACGAGAGGCGACCGGCATATCGAAGGCACAAAAGAACAATGTTGGACGCTCCGAGGGCCTTCGATGTTTCTCCGTTGGGGAGAGTCGTCGTAGGATCGACGATTGCCGACCGAGGGCAGCGAATCCAGTGGAGGCCCAAGAGGCCCCCAGGAGCCCAAAAGAGATCCCCAAGAGGTGCCACGGGGCTTAAAAACTGCTTCGAAGCGAGGGGGGCGGACGAGGGGACCGCCTCAGGAGGTTTTGGACGGTTTTGGGCCTCAAAATCGTCCGCTTTACGACGGTTTTGGAAGGATTTTGGCCTTCTCGCCTTTTCCGCTTTCCGACGCTCGAAGACGGCCCAAGAGGCCTCCAAGAGCGCCCCAGAACGGCCCAAGAGGTTTCCAAGAGCGCCCCAAGACAGCCCAAGAGGGCCCCAAGACGACCCAAGAGACGCTCAAGACGGCCCACGAGGGCCCGAAGACAGGCCCAAGAGGGGGCCAAGAGGGGGACCACGGACCGAAAATCCGAGCCTTCCGCCCCAAGAGGGCGCCAGGAGGCCCAAACAGGCCCCCAAGAGGCCCCAAGGGGCCGCCAAGAATCCCCCGAAGAGGCCCCAGGAGGCTCCCAAGGAGCCCAAACGAGGCCCCTACAGAGGCCCCAACAGCTTCCAAAATGGCCCCGAAGAGGCCTCGAGCCCGCCTCCGAGCTTCCTCGCCGCGAGGGTGCCAACACGGCCCCAGACCGGCCCAGGACGGCCCAAGGCGCGCTCAAGACGGCCCAAGACGATTCCAAGACGGTCCCAGGAGGGTGCGCCCAGGACGGCCCAAGGACGCGCCCGTTCGGGGCCTCAAGACGGGCCAAGATGGCAAGAGAGTCCCAGCTGGCAAAAATCGTTAATTTTCCATTGTTTACTGTTACACCCTTTGCGTTTCCCGCCGTTTCGGCGGTCCGATGCACCAAGAGGCCCCAGAAAGTCCCAGGAGGGTCCGAGGAACCGCCCAGGAAGGCCCCAAGACGGGCCAAGACGGACCCAGCACAACCCAAGGCGCGCTGCGACGGCTCAAGACGGCTCCAAGACAGCCCCAAGAGGGTGCCAACACGGCCCCTGCTGGGCCCAGGACGGCCCAAGGAGGCGCACAGGAGGGGCCCAAGACGACTCCAAGGCGGCCTCCTCACGGTCCCAGACGGCTCCAAGACAGCCCCACGAGGACCCCGATGGGCCCAGGACGGCCTACGGACGCGCCCATGAGGGGCCCACGACGAACCAAGACGGCCCCATCAGGGCAAACGGCGCCCTCAAGACGGGCCTAGACGGCTCCAAGACGGCCCTTTGAGGGAGCCAACGCGGCCCCACACCCTTCGGGCGCACACTTGGGGGGGCTGGGAGCTTGCGACAAGTCTCCCACATTCATTGTCCTGCCCCATTCTGTTCGCCTGGAGGCCTCCTCCAACCCTGTGGGCGAACAAGAGGAATCCCAGCGGGACGCCAACCCTGGGGCCCGTGGGCCCCGCGCCGCTTGGGCAGAAGACGAACGCCGGGTCTGACAGGCCAGCTACCGCCCCCCTTTGCCCGATATGCTGTGCCATTCTGTTCCCCCAGGGGCCTTGGCAAACTCTTCGGGCCAAGCAGACCGGACCCCTGGGACAGCAGCCAATTGATATGACCCTGGGACCTCTCCGCA